CTTTGTCTCTGCATTTTTTATGCTTCCCTGTGTGGATAAAGTGGCTTTCTGTGCTAAGTGTCCTCGAGGGCCCAGTGGCTCAGCCTCCCCAATTACCTGAGGAGGACACTCTTGGTGCACCCCCTTGTGGGCTGTTTGCACAGTCTTGTTGTAGTTAAACCTCGATTGCTGTATCACTGGGAGGAATTGACCTCCAGGCCAATTGGCTGTGAGGACCAGCTGTGTCTACAGTGGGAGAACTTCTGTGCTGGAGACACCCTTATGGGGCAGGACTTGCTTCAGTGGGGCTTTGGTGCTCACTGAGTCTGCCCCCTGAGTGTGTGTCTTATGGTGTGAAGAGTTGTAATCTGGATGGTCTCATTCTGATTTGATGGTCTGGGTGCACTGGCTCTTGGATCTCCAAGAAGGTTCAAAGTCAGCCACTGCCTGAGGCCATGCAGCAGGAGTTACAGAGAAATCTGCAGATTCCTCCTCTTTGTTTGGGGTTTGGAGGTGCCCAGATCAGGTGGCTGTGAAGCAATGCAGGCTGCTGATTCGAGCCTTAGGCCTTCTTTTGGAAGTTCTGGGGTTCTCTGACCCAGCTGCAGTTTGACAGGTTTTTAGGCAGAGAAAGGCCAGGCCATTCGTATGCAAAAGCCTCTGTGCACAGCTTGGGTCGAGTTGTAAATTGGGTGGGGCAGGGTCTCAGGGAATCACTAGGGTGGAGCAAACAACAATGGTTTCCCATCAGCCCTGCCCTAATAGGTCCCTGGGTCTCTGTGTCCTGCAGCCTCGTTCAGGAACAATGACTGCTGCAAGCACCTCTGCAAGAAAGCTGCCCTCACATTCTGGCCCGATGCCAGACAGTCCAGTTTCTCTCCGTATGAATCTGGGTTCCCAGCTTCTCGCCCGTAACTGGAGTTCAGAGCATTCGGGAGCTTGTATCTCCCTCCTATTTGAAAAAGACAACAGCGTACCCAGCTGCCAGCCCCTTTCACGTGCCTCTGTACCTCTGCACTTCTGCACCTCTGCACCTTCTACTGGACTCAATGCACTTTTCTCTTTCCTTCTAGTCATAGAATTTCCACTCAGCCAGCCTTCCTGTGGTTCTGGATGATATTCGTTTTGTCTATTAGTTATAGTTTTAATGTGATTGTGCGCGGCAGCAAGTTCAGGTGTTTACCTATGCCTCCATCTTGGTTGTCTCTCAAATATTTTCTTTCTAAGAAGTCCTTCAGCTGACTTTTCAGAGGGGCCAAAACTGTGGCAGCCATATTCAAATCTGCTACAAGTTATACTGACAAGAAAGCAAATAAAGAGTAATTTTTTTAAATGTATTTTTATTGATTTCAGAGAGGAAGGGAGAGAGATCAATGATGAGAGAGAATCATTGATCATTTGCTGCCTCCTGCATGCCCCCTACTGGGGATTGAGCCTGAAACCTGGGCATGTGCCCCTGACCAGGAATCAAACTGTGACCTACTGGTTCATAGGTCCACACTCAACCACTGAGCCACACTGGCCCAACAAGAGTAATAATTAGATGAGATATAAAGGCAAGAGTGCTATCTTGCTGAAATTGAATTAGTCACTATTGGCATTCCATTTTCTGTTTCCCTCATAAAAGAGAAGATATCTTGTCTACTTGAAAGGTTTGCATACCTGTCACGTTTATCTTTTGCTATTTTCTTTTTCTCCTCAAACTGTTCCAAAAGGCCTTTTGATTTTCCAACTGGCAAAGGAAGAGGAAATAAGCCTCCATCATTTATATCTTCTTCAAACAGCTGGGGTTTTGTCTGGTACTTTGTGAAAATACTAGGTTCATTCTGTTAAAAAAATCATTATAGCATTTCACATATAAAAATACCTATAACATTCACTATTTTCTATACAATCAGAGTCATAATCACAATACCAGTAAGTGAAAATCATAATATTAAATAACATAGCATGTAGTATTTCCTTTTTAGTTCATATATTCAAGAAAACTATATTTAAAAAACAACTCTTTTTATTAATATAGTTTCTGCATTGCTGGCCCAGAGAGATATAAAATGCCAGCTAAAATGGCTTCAAATCAATTGCATAAATTTAAAGGTAACAACAGATAATTATTTTTCCCATCAACTGTTTTATTTATATCTTTTATTTATTTTTTTTAAAATATATTTTATTGATTTTTTTAAGGGGAGGACGGGAGAGGAAGAGAGAGTTAGAAACATCGATGAGAGAGAAACATCGATCAGCTGCCTCCTGCACACCTCCTACTGGGGATGTGCCCGCAACCAAGATACATGCCCCTGACCGGAATCAAACCTGGGACCCTTCAGTCCACAGACTGACGCCCCATCCACTGAGCCAAACCGGCTTCGGCTATATCTTTTAAATTTCATTTTTAATTATAGTTGATATACAAAATTATTTATATTACTTTCAGGTGTACAACATAGCGATTCAACATTTATAGACCTTCCAAAGAGATAGATCACCACCTGTGTGATCTAGGTCTAGTAACCATCTGTCATGTTAAATAGTTATTACAACACTAGAGGCTTGATGCACAAAATTCGTGCAAGAGTAGGCTTTCCTTCCACCAGCTGCTGGTACTGGCTTCCCTCCGGCTGCTGGCGGACACCCAGGACCTGGGCTTTCCTCGCAGCCCCAGCTTTGTCTGGAAGGACGTCTGATCTAATTAGCATATTATGCTTTTATTATTATAGATTATTGACTCTATCCCCTATGCTGTACATTACATTCCTGGGACTTATTTTATAACTGAAAGTTTGTATTTTTTAATCCCCTTCCCCTTTTCTGCCCAACATCCTACTCCTCTCCCCATCTCTGGCAACCCTCAGTTTATTTACTACAGAGAATTATTTATACTATCTCTGAGGTGATGTGTTAACATTTTTGTATTAACCAGTTAAACTCAAATTGCTGTTGCTCAGCTGCTAGTGGACTAGCCTAGCTGGTAAGATGGACATGAACTGGACAGTGGGCACGTGGACACATGGTGAGCCAATCCCTGCATCCGATGCAAAGTGCACTCTGGAGCATGTAGGAGTACATTAGCTCCTTCATGTCACTGGGCACAGTGTTTGTACTGAAATGCTCATCTCACAGCAGACCCTACTACTTAAAGCACTGAGCTAAGCTGATTTGTTAAGTTTCTATTTGATGCACATAAATCTGTATATAAAGTCAAATCTAGTTCTAGACCAAAATAAATAAATACATAAAATTATTTCTGACTCACAAAAGAAGACATGCTGGTCTTAAAAAGTCAAGGACTCAAGAGACTTGGTTTCTCCCTCTGGCCCTTATTTATTAACTCAGAACCCTCATGTCCTTCTTCAAGGAGATAAGGTAGCACAGTGCACTATAATCCACAAAGCACCTGAAATTTCCTAGAAAAAATGTCCATCTAAAATAAAATTTATGTACTTTATTCCAACTTTTCTAAAGTTCTTTTTCTTATGAAATGTTTATAAATAATAGTATGACTAGTCATAGAAAATGTCATGCAATATTTGGATCTCTCTAGAAGTGATCAAGGAACTGGAACAATTCTATACTAGAGGCCTAGTGCACAACATTTGTGCACTTGGGGGGTTTTCCCCTCAGCCCTGTCTGCGCCCTTTAGCAGTCTGGGAGCCCTCAGGGGACATCCTTAGCACTACAGTGGGAGAGAGAGAGAGGCTCCTGCCACCACTGCTGTGCTTGCCAGCTGTCAACCCAGCTAGTGGCTGAGCAGTGCTCCTCCTGTGGGAGCGCACTGACCACCAGGGGGCAGCTCCTGCATTGAGCATCTGCCCCCTGGTGGTCAGTGCGCGTTATACGACCGGTCATTCTGCCATTCGGTCAATTTGCATATTACCATTTTATTATATAGGATGCTTTAGTAATAAAAGAAACGGCAAATATAGATATTTCCTCCATTTCAAACTACCAAGTCAAGTGAATCACCAATAAGCACAAATCCAGTTAGAAGAGTAAATATAATTCAACAGAATAAGTCATCTTTATGCTTATCTCCATAATGGCGGTGAAATGTGTGCAGAGAAATTCTGGCAGTCAGACTCACATCCAGAGAACCCTTTTGTAACGGTTTTGGGTCTCTCAAATGGACACCAACATCCAAAGGTGCTGACAAGGTCTCTGAACTTTCTGGACAGAACTGGGATCCAAAGAGGAACTGAGAGTCACTGAGACTGGAATAATCACCCGGATTATTAGCCCAGCTAGATGACTTAGTTGTCCTGAAATTAAGCAAGAAAAGAAAAGTATAGCTAGTGGAAAACATCTTGAACAAATCAAATCACTATTCATTTTAGAATATTCTGGGCAGAGTGCTAGCCTATTCTGACTTCCCATCCCCTGAACACTGTCACTACAACCTATAAAGAAACAAGAACAATTTGAATGCCAGTTATTTTGATTACAACAACTTGGGAACAATCAGATGGGAATTCAAACAATAACACCATTACTGCTTGCACAATAGCACTGTAGGGTATTAATACCATTTTGGAGATCAAAGTTCATAAAATTTTTAGGGATTAAGAGAACATTATCTTTTTAAAAGTTGAATCTTTTCATCACTAAAGGGATAAAAAATAAAATATGGCATATGCATATAACTGAAGCAATAAGCTAAATTTACATATAACTACATGAATAAGTCTCAAAATCTAATTCTGAGTGCAGAAAAAAGTAAAAACTAAATGAGCACTATTACATACCATTTATATACTTTTAAACATACAACATACACACCATGAAGGTGGGGCCCTCATGATGGGCTGGTGCTCGCTCTTCCCCGCTGCCCCTTCCCCACAATGTGAGGACACAGCAAGCCAGGAAGGGACCTCTCCCCAGAAACTAATTATGCTGGCATCAAGTTCTAGGGCTTCCAACCTCCACACCTGAGAACATTCCTGTTGGTGAAGCCATCCATTTACGGTCCTGTGCTTTGGTAGCCCACGCAGACTCTAACTCTCACAGTCCCTGGGCATCACAGTCCCTAGGCCCGTGCTGGACAGAGTCATTGCTCAATGAACACACAGCTGAATCGACAGTGCTTTTATCATCATAAACAGGCGAAAGGAAAAGGACAAGTATGGGAGGGTGCAGCAGTGACAGGCGAGGGGAAGAAACTATATGCTAACTCTATTACCAACAGAGCCTTTTTCTATAAAATAAACATAACTAAAAGATCTTTAAGATCAGACTATATAACTGAAAAACTTACCCAGAGGTTGAGGGAATACTGAGCATATCTTTGATATTCCAGACATTAAAATTCATTTCTTATGATTATTCCTATTTAAAAAAAGAGAAACATTAATTTAAAAGGTTATAATCCCCCCAAGATTGCTTTACTGGTGATGATACATAGATGAGGACATTTCAGTAGTTATATTTTCATCCAATTAGTGAAAATTCCCATTACCTTTGAGCCAGAAACAGGCATTCTCTGTTAAACTGTGTAGAAATTTCTCTCCTTCTTGATACCACCAGGGAGAGCCCAGTCACCTGTGAAATAGGAAATCTGATTTCTATCCTCTGCTCTCTAGGTCTTTTCTCTTGCCACCGACCAATAATCCGCTTTTAGGAAAAGCCCAATACATCCCACTTCATTGCCTTGATACAATGATTTAATGTATTAGCGGTTCTTCCTGGACGATAGGACCTCGGAAGGCCAGGGGAGCTGAGGGGTTGGGCATAAAGGAGCTGGACGAAGAGTGAGCGCTTTGTGCAAAAGCCTTCCCACACCTCTCCTGAGCAGCTGCCTCCTCTGCCACGGCCAATACCATACTCTGCATATGACACACAGTTCCTGTGATGCGCGTATAGCCCGGATTTCATGAAACAAGCCCAATTTCTAAATTTTGTCTCTCTGCTCTCACAAAACATATGTATCATTACATATTACCATTGAGTCCTACACATATGGTAGATTTATATGATCAAATATCAAATACTGTTCCAACATAGATCTGAATAAAACAAGTTCTGAACAAATACATTTAGTATACTTTTTATATAATTTAATCTTCTGTAGAGAAACCTGTTACATTGAAGTTTCCTAATCTAGGAAAACACGAATTTGGGTGTTTATAACCACTTCTTTTGCAAGAATGTGAGGTATACACCACAGGATCAAGTATGTGCCAGGCACAGCACTAGACACATTGCAAGATACATCTACACAGCCCAGGTATATGCCAGGTGCAGTGCTAGGTACATTGCAAGATACAAGGTTAATGATTTTGTGAGGCAGGTATCTTTATCCTTAAATTTATAAATGAAAGAGGAGACATTACAAAATAAAAGGCAATCTACAGAATGGGAAAAAATATTTTTAAATCACATATCTAATAAAAGTTTAATATCCAAAATGTATAAAGAACTTATATAGCCCTAGCTAGTTTGGCTCAGTGGATAGAGCGTTGGCCTGTGGACTGAAGGGTCCTGAGTTCCATTCTGGTCAAGGGCACATGCCTGGGTTGCAGCTTGATCCCCAGCAGGCAGTATACAAATCAATACCAAAAAAACAAATGCCAAATGATTAAAAATGGGCAGAGAGCCCTAGGTGCTTTGGCTGTTAGCACATCAGCCCTTGGACTGAAGGGTCTTGGGTTCGATTCCAGTCAAGGGTACATACCTGCTTAGGAGGCAACCAATTGATGTATCTCTCATGTGTTTCTCTCTCTCCCACCTGCTTCCTCCCTCCCACACTCTGAAAAGTAATGGAAAATTATCCTCAGGTGAGGATTAACAAAAAATTTTTTTTAATTTAAAAAGTATCTATATAACACATATGTAATATCCTTTGTAATAAATAATAAAATTAAAAAAAAAAATAAAAAGTAATTTATACTCATTGCCCTAACTGGTTTGGCTCAGTGGATAGAGCATCGGCTTGCAGACCGGTCAAGGGCATGTGCCTTGGTTGCGGGCACATCCCCAGTGGGAGGTGTGTGAGAGGCAGCTGATTGATGTTTCTCTCCTATCGATGTTTCTCTCTCCCTTCCTCTCTGTAAAAAATCAATAAAATATATTTTTTAAAAAAAGGCTAAGTTGACTCGCACATGTGCGATACATATAAAGCTCTTGCTGGTGCCAATCGTGTTTCCATCTGTCACTGTCAATCATGAATTTGGTTGACGCTTTTATTATAAAGGGCAAATAGCGATATTAAAATATTCTAATTATTTTACTTTCAATGTGCACGAACTCGTGCACTGGGCTACTAGTATAATATATATAATTTTTTACCTGAAATTCAAATTTAACTAGGTTCCTATATTTTTTTAATTTTTCAATTATAATTTTCAATATAATTTTGTATTGGTTTCAGGTGTACAGCACAGTGGTTAGACAATCATGTACTTTACCAAACAGGTGGCCTATATTTTTATTTGCTAAACCTGACACCCCTACTCTACTGCCACCAGCTTGGACAGCTGCAATGACCTCCAAACTGTTTCCCTGGTTTCCCCTTATCCCACTTCACATTCTCTTCTCTACAAAGCAGGCAGTCCCTCGAACCTTAAGTCAGGTTACCCCTTTGCTCAACTGCTCCACTGCTTTACCCTCCTCAACACACAAGGCAGCATGCTCCCGATCGCCTTCAGTGTCCTCTGCAGTCTCCCCTTAGCTTTGCCTCTCGTCTGCACTCAATCCCACAACCCTTACAGGGCTTCTCACTGCTGCTCCCCCTTGCTGGGCACACCCCAACTTCAACTCCCTGTTCCCTCCACTTGGTTTACTCCTTGCTCAGATATCAACATCATAGGCCTCCCCATCTCCTTTAGGTGTTCTCTCGATTATTTATTCAAAATCATACCTCAACAACCACTATATCTCTCCCTTGCTTTTCTCCACAGTACATCACCATTCTAATACACTATATATTTTATCTTGTTTTACATCAGCGAGCACACCCAGGCCTGCTGGAATATAATGTTAACCTCTTTGAGAACAGGAATTTTTGTCTGTTTTGTTCACTGCTATGTTCCCAGAATCTAGAAATTGTACATGGCACCAAATAGATACTCAGAAAAGATTTACTGTTAAATTAGAGGGGAAAAATATTTGGGATCTAAAGACAATGGAGCAAAACTTTCCAAGTATCCACAGATTTAAAAATATATGATTGTTTTTTTAAAATATATTTTATTGATTTTTTTACAGAGAGGAAGGGAGAGAGAAACATCGATGAGAGAGAAACATCGATCAGCTGCCTCCTGCACATCTCCTACTAGGGATGTGCCCTGCAACCCAGGTACATGCCCCTGACCGGAATCAAACCCGGGACCTTTCAGTCCCCACGCCGACGCTCTATCCACTGAGCCAAACCGGTTTCGGGTATGATTGTTTTTAATTATTGTATTTCAGGTCCTTTATCAGCACAGACTTCCTACATATTTTAAGAAGGTGAATTGAATATTAGATTCCTGACTCAGGTTTACTTATTTCTTTGACAGCCGAAGTTCTGTTTTAAAAAATATATATATATATAATGTTTCCAAGAGGGAGCGAGATAGAAACATCGATGAGAGGGAATCATTGATCAACTGCCTCCTACACGCCCCCATTGGGGATCGAGCCCACAACCCTGGCACGTGCCCTTGACTGGACTCAAACCCGGGACCCTTCCGTCCCCAGGCCGACGCTCTATCCACTGGGCCACACCAGCCAGGGCCGAGTTCTTTCTTCTACCCACATTAGCAGAAATCCCTCCTCCTCCTGTCTAGATTCAGACCATTATTTAAGGCCATTATCACTCATTTACAAGACAAACCCGCTTGTCTTCCACTTGTCCCTGCTTATGGGAGGAGTCATTTCTATAGCATGTGCTCCCCTAGTTCCAGATCTAACTTCCTTTTGATTTAAAGTGTTTAGCTTTCTTGTCTTCAAAAAAAAAAATGTTTTGTTTTTAGAGGGGGGGCAGATAGAAACATCATTGATGGGCCCGGACTGGGGATGGGCCCGAAACCAGGCAGGTGAGCCAACCGGAAGGGAACCTGGACACCCTGTTGCCTGGGGCCCGCCACCCGCTGAGCCCTCAGCCTGGGGCGCCGCACTCGGTCCAGGGTCTGTGTCCCAACTTCCTTTTGATTTAAAGTGTTTAGCTTTCTTGTCTTCAAAAAAAAAAATGTTTTGTTTTTAGAGGGGGGGCAGATAGAAACATCATTGATGGGCCCGGACTGGGGATGGGCCCGAAACCAGGCAGGTGAGCCAACCGGAAGGGAACCTGGACACCCTGTTGCCTGGGGCCCGCCACCCGCTGAGCCCTCAGCCTGGGGCGCCGCACTCGGTCCAGGGTCTGTGTCCCCGGCTCTGAGGTCCCAGCCCGCCCACCCCCGGGCAGCGCTCCCCGCCCAGTGAGGAGAGGCGGCCCTGCTCAGGGCGCGGGGAGGCGCAGTGGGTTTC